GCAATTCTAAATAAAGCTCTGATAAAGTGCAAAATCAGCAATGCAGCCCTCTATTACATTTTCTACAACATCTTACTTGTTCCTTGCATGGAGAGAAAAATGCAATGTTATGATTTCGTTTATTCACATAATTTGACAAGCATGCAGTTACCTGCTACTATCACTGCACAAAACAGAGCAGAAAACATCAGTTGATCAAACACAAGGCATAACAGAAGTTTACAACATAGGGCTGCCGAACCTGCTTCCTCCCACCACAGTTGATGCCATTTCCTAGCCTGGCTTGATGTGAGCACTGAATAGCTGCTTTGTCTAATTACAGCTCACTACCATTCAACTTAAACTACTATCTTTAAAGTAAGAGTGAGAGCGTTCAGTGTTCATAGCAGCTCGACAGACGACAGACAACAAACATCTTGACAAACCAACCAGTATTTGATTTGGCTAATGATTTATGTGCTTGTTGTATCATGGCCAAACTACTTTAACAGCAATAATCCCTGTTTCATCTTGAGCTTGCTTTTATTTCCATTTGAACTCAGATCTTGAAACAATCATCTGAAGTGATATCAGATACTGGCTTCTGCCTTCTGTTTCTCTTGAAAGCAAGTTAAAACAACAATGATAAACTAAGGCAGGAGATGTGAGTTGTGGCAGTAGATTTTTGATTCAACATATGTCAACCTTATATTGCTTGAGACCTCTGTGACAGACAAACAAATATTTATAGTTTTTTGATAGTTTGGATTCTTGGCTTGATTTAGCAGATCAGCTGTGAACCTTGACTTTGAAATCACCGTCATGGTACCCGAACGAATCCTCGCATGACATTTCTTCGTAGCACAATTTTTCGTCCGCATTTCTTCGTCTACAAATCTTCGTCGGTGCATTTATTTGTCCCTCAATGCTTACTCTTGCATATATTTGCGTTGAAGAAGAAATGCGAGCCGTTTTTCATATACCCTGGTGCGAGACAAAGTAATGCGATAGGTACGAATAAATGCCCTGACGAAGATTTGCAGACGAAGAATTGCGATACGAAGAAATGCCATAAGAATTGTCCTGGAATCCTTTATTGGCCATCATATATTGACCTTGTTAAGATAAACGCGTCATTCGCGCAATATCTGTCGCACTTTGATACCAAACTATTGCTTCCAAATGCCGACGTAAAGAAAACCTTTATGTGACGTCATAGAAACAGCGGATTTCCCAAAAAGTAAACAAAAATAAAAGTCTTATATCTCGAAAACGGGTGAATATTTTCCGGTAAAATTTGGTAGATGTTCATTTTCGCTCTTTGTGATTCACGCTACATCACTTTTATGCCAATTCATTAACTTTTTTGAAGGTGGGAGGGTCCCTTTAACATCCTGGGGCGGCGGGGCCAGAGACGTTTCAAAACTTTTAACTTTGCTTGCTACACACATCCCAGACGACAGAAGCACTAACATTATAATGCCAATACGGATGAATATCATGAACATATGATGGTCCCTTCGCGACTCGCGAGGTCATATGGCGCTTACGATGGCGGGACATCTGATGGCAGATAACCGCTCTATTCTGTGTTCGGCACAGACTATGTGCGGGCATTACCACCCCCCCCCCCCCCCTCCCCTCCCCCCCCCACGACACCAGACACCGACACACGGGAAAGGAAGGGACCTATCGCAGCGGGAGCCCACATCTGCGGCCTCTGTGCCCACCAGCCACCAGTGCCCGCCGTCCGTCCAGCCGCAGCTAGCATCTGCCCGGCCACCGCCGTGGGCGGGTCCCGCCGGCGGTCCGACCACGACGGCCGGCATCCAGACGCGCCGCCGGCGCTGACGGCGTCATCGTCCGCGGCGGCGGCGGCGGCCGTCAGGTGCGGCCGCCAGCGGCAGCGCGGCGGTGACGTCAGGGCAGCTCCGCAGGGCGCGGGCGGGCGGGCGCCGGGCGCCGGCCGGAGCCGGTCCAACACGCGCCCGCACTCCGCAGTGACCACCGGAGGGAGGCCTCAGAGGCGGCCGGGCTGGCCGGTCGGCGAGCGGTGCCCCTGCGGCCTGCACTGACCGGGGTTTTACCAAACATGTCGCAACGGGTTATTACCCGTGCAATGCGGAGTCAAGGGTAGGAATTTCCATCATATTCCTACCAAACCATTCCTTAAGTATGCACGACATTTGGGTAAAATATAATAAACGTAAAAAAGGTTTGATGCACGGTCGATAAGGGTCATTTTGATGAGAAGATTCGTATAACCACGTCACGTCACATTTTCAGCGTTCCGATAAAGCCGTCTTCTGAGTGATAGGTAGGTATAGGCCCGACTCGAATACGGTATGGGCTATGGTCTCTGGCGCAAACCCGTCGTTTTGAATCGGTACAATTGCTATCCAAGGCACCGCAGTTTGCGCTCAATTATGTGCACTTCTTTCCGAAGATGGTAAAAAAACATTGACATGACGAGGCCCATGGCATCTAACTGACAGCTGCATGCAACAAATATGATTTTTGAGGGTGGCGCTTGGTAGACCCCGATCAGATGTGTAGGCTCCGATCAGTTTGATTTATTGCACCGACCGGTCCATACTGCGGGTCATATCGTCCGGCTGGTGAACGCTGCGTGGATCACGAATATCTAAAAGTCGCTTATTGAATTTACTCGTGACTTAGGCCGAACGGACAGTAGGAGCCGGTTTGGAAATACGGCAATCTAACGTAACCCGTGAAACGTCCCGATCACACTGGCGGTCGCAGCCGCTAGCAAAAGGGGGGGCCAAAGTCACACTCGCGGGACATAACATTTGTCCGTCACCGGGAGGGGGGGGGGGGGGTGATCGGCTAATTTTTTACGTCCACGAGGTGCCATGCAGTTGGCATTACTTATGCTTCATCCATCTGATTCTTGCGTGAAATCTTTAAGCTCAATTTAAGGCAAAATCACCAGTTCCATTTCCCGTCCCACGGTGCTTCCACCGGTCGGGCCACTGCACCATGACGACGGATCGGTGTAGCATAGGTATGCTGGAAGGTCAGGCACGCGGATTCATGACCTTACCACTATAAAACAATTCGGAAAAGTACAGATACCTCTTGCTTTGAACAAGCATGTGAAACCCAGAGAGCATTTTCAGACTATGACATTTACCCATATAGGTAACATACCTAGTTATGTGGCGGCGGGAGAGAGTAGGTACACCGACCTCTGGAGACCCCCCACAGGTTCCGAGCTTTCAAAATTGGCATCTGAGGGCCGCGCGCGACTCCTGCGGGGCTTCGCAACGGCTCTATTGGGGCTCACTCAACCTGCCTAGTCTTACTGCTAAAAAGACTGGCCCTGAGCCCTAAGGACTTCATCAGTCTCTGCCAGCCCCAGGACCCACACCGGCTCATGGGGTCCCGACGTCGAAATATGAGGGAATCTGCGCCGGACCATCAGGACGTAAAGTAATCTCGATCAGGACCAACGTAAGGCTGTGCCGGAGACTGCGTGAGCCCTCTGATCTTCAGAAACCCACCCATGTATGTTTTCACGTAGAGGCCAGTTTAGGGCCCTCAGAGACCAGTACAGGGCCTGCAAACTATAAAGGCCAGTAGTTTGAGACAATCAGTGACCGAGTTGGGCTCTCAGAGGCTAATGTGGGTCATTACAGGCCAACATGGGCCCTCAGAGGTCAGCGTGGGGCCCTAAAAGACCGGCATGAGCCGTCGTTGGACCCCAGAGGCCAGCAGAGGGCCCTCAAAGGCCAAGATGGGCCCTCCTCAGAGGCCAATGCAGGCCCTTAGAGGCCGGCACCGGGTCTTCAGCAGCCAGTGCGGGGCCCTCATTGGCACCTAAAGGTTCGTCTTGGGACACCACAGACAGAAATAAGGCCACCAGAGACCGGTGTGAGACCCTCAGACGCCGGTTGGGACCCCTGAGGCCGGTTAGGGGCCCTCATAGGCCAGATGTGGGGTCTCAGAGGTTGATGTAGGCTCTTAGCGGTCAACGTGGGCGCTTGACCGCCACTGAAGTTCCCTCAGAGGTCAGTGTAGGACGCTCAAAGACCGGTGTGGGAGCTATATTAATAGCTGGATGTGGGTTTTTTTTAGCCTCGTGACGATCAAATAATTGCCAGGGCCCCATACACCTATATGGGGGCCCATTGGTTGTTTGAGGGGGGGGGGGGCAAATAATATGATGGCCCCCTTTATTGACCTTTGGGGGGCATGGCCCTGATGCCCCCCCCCCCGCGACCGCCACTGTGTACACATTACACACATGCCTCTGAGATTACATACTAGCTCATGCAAACTCTATGCAGGCCCCGGAGTTCCCACGCTAATCCTTAAGAAACCAAGCCGGCATACGGCGTCACCACCGGGCTTCTGAGGTGCACAGCACCAACCCATGAGGTCTTACTTTAGTGTCTTAGAGCCAATCTCCTTTAGCAGGGCCCACCCATCACTGCCGAAGAGGGTCTCATGCCAGCCATTGCTGGGCCTACGAGAGCCTCAAGTAAACCCACGCTGATATTCCATATAAGATCCGGCCATACTCGTGAACCGGTGCCAGCGACGCTGACCGCCAAATTGACAGAATGCGAAACTGAGCCCACTCATGAGTGAAATTTACGTCCTTTGATGGCGCAAGAAAGAAAATGAAACATACGAAAAGCTTTTCTAGAACTTTTGCTCGATCTGAAAGGTGGGGCCAAAAGATAGTATGGCCCCACCTTTCAGCACCAAAGGGTGGATACGTTCGACATTTAGACGGAATATGGTTCAAATAATGAATATCGAAATGGACCAAAACGGAAGGTACACTTCTCCGCTAACCGATTCCTTCTTTTGAGTGACGTTGACGTGACTTCACAGCTTTTTTCAAAAGTGGGCGGGGCAGTAAACAGCTCAAGGAAACGATGCATGTCGTCATTAAGCGTATGCATGCCTACTGAGGGATACAAGCCAAACTTGACGTCACCAATCCACCCCCCCCTCCCATTGATCACGGACCGTCCCCAGCTGAGGCCTACCTGGGCGGTGTGGAGGGCGGCTCGTCTTTGACCTCGACCTTCTCGACAGCCTCCTCAGTCCGACGAGGCTCCTTGGGCTCCGGCTCCCCTTCGTCGACCGGCGGCGCTCTGTCCGGGACCCCGCCGCCCTCCTCGCCCGGGTTCGACTCCAGCCACTCCAGCAGCTTCTGGAACATGAGCTCGTTAGGCACGGCGCTGTCGGTGGCTTCCTCCAGCGCCAACTCCTCGCGACTCTCGCGCCGGAACTGGATGCTGTGCCGCTTCCACAGATCCTTCAGCTGCTGCACCGTCTTGCCGCTGCCCGGGAAGCGCTGTCCGAACTGGGCGGCAATCTCGGTCCAGGCACGCCGCTTGCTGTAGACGGCTCGGTCGTCGATCCGCACGTCGGTCACCACGGACCAGCGCTCCATCACCTGGGATAGCAGAAACGTGCGCATTGCTGCCGTGAACTTCTCCGAGGGGCGCCGCGGCGCGGCGCGCACAGGCTCCACGGGTGCCGTCTCCTGTTCGCCAGCGTCCATGGTGACGGCACGCGCGGGTTTGCGGCCGCGCGCCGCGCCGGCCGCCCCCGCGAGCGCCGCGAACGCCCCGGGCGATCCGTCCTGCCGACCGCGTCTGGCGCCGGCCGGCGGCGGCTGAACCGCGCCCGCCGATTGGCCGGCGCGATGAGAGGCGGCCGGTGATTGGTGGAGCCGGTGAAAGGTGCCGCGGGCGCCGTCCGGCGGATGGAGGCCGCGGCGGGAGCGCGCCGGTAGCCGAGGGCGAGGCAAAAACGCCCGGCGCGGCCCGTCCGGCCCGGCGCAGCGGCCGGCGGGCTGGCCTTGCGGAGCGCCCGGCGCCGGTGGGAGGGGCTGCCGGAGGTCCGCCACAGCTCCCAGCCCGCGGCGGCGAGAGCACGGCACACGGAGCCGCCACAGGACCCTGCCGGAGGATGGAGGCGCTCAGAGGGTATGGTCGGAGGACGTGGTTCACCATCGGGGTGTAATCAGAGGACAGGGTGCGTCCAAAAGGTACGATCGGAGAAATGGGTAACACACAGGTTCACTCAGAATATGCTCGGAGTATGGAATAGAAATGAAACGATTGTAAGAATCCTATAATTATTTTCGCGGCAGTATTTTTACTAGTTCGGAGAACGGCGATTCACCAACCAGCAACACGCTGTTTACGAATACGTGTACATGTATTACCAGAAATTATTGTATCTTTCGATACAGCCATGCTGCCCAGCACAGATCAGCGCCACGGCACGGTAGCACCACAAAGATCGTGCCCACCGCCCGCACAGGACAGCTAACGAGCGTAAACACATTGCAGGCAGGGCACGTCGGTCGCAGCACAGCGCTCTCCTATATACCTACGGCGCTGATCGATTCACAGGGGACAGGCACACCTCGTGGCACACACCTGGCTACAGCCCCACGCCCCCAGAGGCCGTGTCACAAAGATACAAAGAGTAGATGGTTGGATAGGAAACTGACCATCCGACGCACCACAATAAATCGCAGGACGACATAGACTGTTCACTGGGTGCCCATTGTGACAAGTTTGCTGTTTCGAAGTTCAAGCAAGCTACGTGAAATACAGGCGGTCTTATAAATGCGGTCACCCACCCAGTGCCCAGCTAGCTCGGATACAGATGGTTTCCAAGAACTCATCCTCATTGTATCGCATGGACATGTTTCGCTACGGTAGCGGACATCATTCTACCAATAAAGGCACGAGAAAACGGCATAGCAAATCGGCGGGCAAAAAATAAAGCGAAAACTACCAGCCTCATACAAATAGCGCACTACAGCAGCAAAAATGATAACGATTCTCTCTCGTGGTAAGCTCAGTGCCTTCACTGTACGCAAGAGCTAGGCGTGGACGTCATGCTTGCACGATACGACAACGATAGTCTAACGGTTACAAGGTATTATACAGCCCAACAAAACAATGTACAACTTTCTGTCAGCGAGCTCAAACCGACAGCACGGAACAGATGCAAACAGCTCTTGGCTACCACGCAAAGACTTCTCGCATTCACACACGAAAACGCTCTCCGATGCATCCTTTCAGTAATCTTCCGATCAGTATCACGCACAGAAAGAGCCAGTCGCAAAGAAATATTGAATTTCTCCACTAAACGATGGATAGATCTTCAGATACAAACAAAACCCAGTGGACATTTATAGAGTCAAACCAGATGTTATACACCCAAAGCAAACCAGTAAATTAAATCACTTGCTAAAACCAAAATTCAGCACAAAGCACCATCAGTCTGGGCCTAACACCCGCCGTCATGCCGACAGCAGCGCCAATAGCGGCGAAAGGACGAAGCTGCACCTCCGGTTAACTCCGCCAGATGGCAGGCCTGCGCGGACTGTTGTGTTGTTTTTGATCCGCGATGCGGCCTCTACCGGCGATACCGTCCGAGGAAAGCCTTGCAGTTGGGACAGTAGTGCTCCTTGTCCATGCACTCGTCCATGCAGCATGGAATCAGGCAGCAGCCCATCCAGCAGCTGGGGGCAGAGGGAATAGGTCAGGCACCCAGGTGTCAGGCAGCAGCCCATCCAGCAACTGGGGGAAGAGATGGAAATCAATTAGACGATCCAGCAGACAACAGCATATTTAGCAACTGGGGGAAGAAGGACAAAGCATCAATCTGACATTGAACTGAGATCACTAAGTGGGAACAGATAGTGGCACTTAGACAGACACTGAAGGATCAGGCAGCAGCCCATCCAGCAACTGGGGAAGAGGGAATAGGTCAGACACTCAGGCATCAGAGAGCAGTCCATCCACAGCTCGGGGCGGAAGGAACAGGTCAGACTCGGGGATCAGGTATGTGGCAGCGGCCCATCTAGCAGCTGGGGGAAGGAGGAACATCAGGCTCTGAGATCGAACAGCAACTAGGGGCCAGAGAAGAACTCAGAATCAGACACTCAAGAGATCAGGCAGCAGCCAATCTAGCAGCTGGGCAGATAGAAAGAACACAGAGAGACACTGAGATCAATCAGCAGCTGGGGGTAGAGGGTTGCTGCTGCCTGCTGTCGCGACGACACAATACTAAATGAATGGAGCGATGAACAGCCCAGACACACAGGCCGTGGTACTAGGCGAGGAGCACTTCCTCCCTCTCTCCTCACCCGAACAGAGCGATGAGCAGTCCGGACACCCAGGCCGTTGTGCTCGGAGAGGAGCGCACGCTGGTGTCGATCTCGGCGTGGCAGTGGGGGCACATCATGTGCGTCGGATTCGGTCCCGTGTACGGCACCGTCTGAATCACCGTGGCCGTCGGCACCGCCATCGGCACTCCGCCTGCGGAAACGGGAAATAGGGGGTGGTCACATGTCGGTCACGGGTCACATGTCTCAGTTACTGCCTAGTGCCAGGTACAGGTTATAATACAGTCGACCAGCGACCCTTTACAATGCTACTGTGAATACTGAAGCGCCAATATGGTCAAAGGATAGCAAGTTCAGGCTTTTATATGCAGTCCAAGTAACACTAAGCTCAATACAAGATAGAGCCAAAAGAGGAACACCGGATCCCATTGAAAGTCAATGGATGGCAGAGGCATCAATGAGGGATGTCCGCATTCTACGCATGCCTCGACGACAAACATCTCAATATATTGCAATTACTGCATTCAGGTTCACAGCGCTAAGGATTCAATATCATTTCAACCCTGAGACATTATCATCTATGCAGAGAACTGCGATTCCTTGACATCTCGAGGCTATCTCTATACGTCATTGCTTTGTGATAAGGGGCGCGCCTGCCGTGCAGAGGGTATCGCGTCACAGCAGCTGTTTGGTGACCACGGTCTGCCTCCGATAGCGACTATCAGTGCGATACGGCCCGCCGCAGCAGTCTCCCGGCCTGGTGTCCTGAACCACTCCCCCACTACCCCGTAAACCTCCCCAAAAGCACACGTTCTCTTTTCAGTACGGCAACCCGTGGCATACATAAGTTAGAAATCCGTGTCCCTCACCCAGTCCGGCATCCCGTCCCCCTCCTAGTTCAGTACTCACTACTCAGCCGGTGCCAGTATACGCCTGTACATACACGTCATCTCCTTAGTACGCCGACCGTACTCAAACCCATTTGGACACATCGTATCACGCACCTCTCTGGTCCGGCATAGCGACTGATACTCAGTCATCCCAGCCAGATAGGCCCCTACCTGTCTCCGTTCAGCCCTCCCCAGTCCGGTACCCTCAACGACATTCTCATATCCCTATCAGATTACCCCTTACATATGCAATCAGTTTCTAGTCCAACACGCATATCGATACCCCTTTATCCCACAGATAATTCGTGCCCCTCTCCAGTCTTGCAGCCGCATCGATATTCCGCTGCCACAGCCTGATAGTCCCGTATAACTCCTCTCACTCTCCCCATTCCGGGTCCGCCCCCTCCCCACCCCGTAACCCGTACGCACCTGGCGGCGGCCCGTACTGCCCGTACTGCTGCTGCTGCTGGTGCGGCCCGTACTGGCCATACTGCTGCTGTTGCTGCTGCGGCCCGTACTGACCGTACGGCTGCTGTCCGTACTGGGGGTAGCCGGCGGCGCCCGGAGGAGGCCCGTAACCGCCGTACGAACTCGGCTGCTGCTCCGGCGGCTTGTAGTTGGCCGGGCCTGCGGGAATGGACGGCATGGGGTTCATTATTGATAAATAAATAATTGAATGACCGAGAAGTCACGAACGATGGAGGGAGGTCGCGTGAAAAAGAGGAAAGATGAAGAGAGGAAGAAATAGGACATGAAAGAACTAGCTCGGGGAAGGAGGGCCGAGATGGCGAAGGTGAGCAGAAATGGGATGGAGGATTGAGACTTACCTTCATTAACCCACCGACTCACACGTCGCATCCAAAGACACGGACTAGCCGGGGACAAGACTGGGCACTAGACAGTTTACACCATACAGCTGACCCAACGGACAACATTCAGCAACGGGAAACACGAGATCCACATATTCACAGAACAGCGTGACAGCAGATGGGAAGCGGATGGGGGATTCCCGCTGCAGCCCCTCGGGTCAGCGGTGTGTGACCTCCCGTCCCAGCCGGAGCACAGGGTGGGCCTCAGCCGGCAGCTGCAGCCAGGGCCCACAGCATAAACAACGGCCGGGGGTTCCCCGCCCGTCCCCGCGACCTGAAGGTGTGCGGCAGAGCCACTACTGAGGACCGCGCAGAGGGCAGCTGAGAGCTGTGGGGGTCTTACTAGACACAATAACTGATCCTTCACAGTGGGCATTTATTGGGCAGAAACGACACTCGACCTGTGCAGTTGGCAGGGTTACTATGCATTTCAGACCCCATGAGACCCTGTTTTTCGGCGATAATTTATTTAATATTTATCCAATTGGCTTCAAATTTTCGCACAGCACATTTCAGCTCAAGCGCCAATTTTCGCTAATATGGTCTCTTAACAAAATATCAATTGTTAGGGTACTTGTCGTTGCCTCGTAATGTTAAAATCAGCTCCGTAAATCCGTCAGTGGAGTAGAGGCTATCCGTACGTAGGCGTGACGTCACAGGCACGTGACCATTAAGCTCCGCCCTCCCGGCGGACGGAGCGGTGACCTTGGCCGGTCAGTCGGATGCGTGGAGCCGACGGGGCAGTAGCCGCCGCACCCAAGGCCGTATGCCGGACCGGGGCGGCTCGCATTGGACGTGGCTGCCTTGCGGTTGCCGTTGCAGTAATAACGATACAGCAGAAACTAGCGCTCGTTATTAGCGCGCTAGCCTTCGGTATTGCATTTATCGCAAATTAGCCTGCACCTTGTCAATCAATAAAGATATATCTACTTCTAAGTTCAGTGCTAGTGACTGCATTTTTGCTTGATTGAACGTCATTAAAAAAGGCCGTTGATGTCAATTGACTGTGAACTGATGCAAGACGTCGGTCAGCCTACGTCAAATTTGCAAGACATGGTAAACAGTTACACCGTAGCATTTAAGAAGTGTGGTTAAAATATGAAATATATTATGCTTATGCGTATGCTTGAGATGGATTCATGTGATTGAACACCTTCAGAACTATCCCATTTTATAATTGGCTAGATTGAGGTCACCGGACTGACTACTTTCGACCCCAGGCTTTCGTGTTGAACTGCAAATAATTAAGATACCTGTAAGCAAGTACCCTACTGCCTCACTATTGGAGAGCTTGAAATGTTACTTTAGTTTCACAAAAAGACGCGATTTCTTTACTAGCCTATGCACTTGTTTCCATTATTCTGATGTCACATTTCTACCATGCGCAATAAATCGCACATCACATTTCTGCTCCCTTCTCAACGCTTCCCGAATAACGAACACAGCTCGTGGAGCGATGTCTGAGGCAATCGGAAGTGCTCGCGACTAATAATCCTACTCTGTTTTTTTTTTTTTTTTTGCATAGTTAGGTATAACAGCGTCTTCAGAAACAGCAATTGACGCAGCCAACCATATCGATATTTTCGAGTAGTGCAGAGGCTTCGCATGATGTCATAGGTGACAGAATAGTGGCACGACCTGACCATGAGGTAGGCGCCAGAATATGCATTCATTCAGATATTCAGATAGTGCATGACTCAGCATTCTTCATATGCTGAGCTGGATCGGTGTTGATATACCAAAAAGAGAGAAGCGGCTTCCAACTCCCCCAAATGAAGAGCAAGCTTTCGCCCAGGCACTTCCTGTCGATTCCATGTATGTTTCCAGTGCACGGCCCCCGTGCGACCTCTCCGCGGTGCTGCCGCCGACTGAGCCTGCATAGACCCAGCGCGGTCACGGCCAGTGGGCGGAGCTTAGTTGGAGCCGGCGCAACGTGATTGGCCAGCGCTCCCATCCAATCCGCTGCGGTAGCGAACGAGCCTCTATCCGGGTGCAAAATCTAATTAGTATCACGAGCCAATGACAAGTGCTCTAAATATTGACATTTTGTTAAGAGACCATATTGATGAAAATCGGCGCTTGAGCAAAATGTCTAATGTCAAAATCTCAAGCCAATTAGACAAAAACTGAAGAAATTATCGCCGAAAAACAGGGTCTCACGAGGTCTGAAATACATAGTAGGTGGCTTCGCAAAAGCAGCACTTCATCGCTATTTTTATCAGATTGATAATAGCATTCGCTGCACGTAAAACTTAGGGCTGTTCCTGAATATAAATGTCAGCATACATTTTCCCACATACATAAATGGGGTAAGTTAAGTAGCCCCTGTCCAGCCGGGCTTTCTCTTACCTGGCGGAAGGTGTGGGGAGGCGCCCTCGCTGATGGCTTGGTTATAGCTGGGAGGACCCTGATTCGGCTGTTGGTAGTCGTGGGAAGGCGCCGATGGCTTACTCATGGTGATTTCTCTGGGTTACTGGAGATAAAACTCTGTGGACAGAGGCACGGGGTTAGCTAAAGGTATGTGCCACACGGCGAGTCACTCAACGAATTGCGTTATACGGCGGGTCAGCAGTTTAACCTGCGTCAGTCAGCCAGCTCAGTATGTGGATAGTCATTCGGTAACTCTGGTCCATAAAATAAATCTGATTCTGATTATAATCAGATGTCTGGATGTGCAATGTTGTCTCTTGAGTCTTGATATCTATCAATAGCCAATATTGCACATATTAATGTCAAGAATCGTCTCCTACTGTCCGATGACATCGCAGCACCATATCAGAAGCAATCTTTATCACCATCCCAATAATGTTTTTACCACTACAACCGGCTACCGTCGCCAATCCTACTTCTACAAGTGCAGCCGCACTTTGGGCCAGTCCCCGCGCGCCGCTGATCCATCGATAGTCGACTGTACAAATCCCCTGGGGGAGGTGCACGCCGCAGTTCGCCGAAAGCCGCCGGGTAAACACGTCACCCGGCGAGCCGTCCGTGACCGCCAGCGTCCGAAGGCGGGACGAGTGGACAGTGCGGCACGGAACTGTGCTGCATTTCAGTGTCCTGTCCAGATGTGGGTAACAGTTCAGTTAGATAGCCGTTCCGTCTACAGTCCAGCACAGACAGACAGCCGCCCGTCCCGTCCTGTCCCGCCGTGGAACACAGTCCTTCCAGACAGCCGTCCTGTCCAGTCCAGACAGAAAGACAGCCGTCCCAAAGCAGGCCGCCAGAGAGCCGCCCGTTCTGTCCCTTCTCGCCAAGTCACGGACCGCAGCTCCGCCAAGACAGGTGCCGCTAAGTCAGACAGCCGTTCTCCCTGTCCCGCTAAGCCAGTCAGACAGCCGTTCCGTCCAGCCCCGGCGGCTCGCACGCAACGCCACCACCGCCGGGGCCGCCGGTTTATCGATTAGTCGAGACATACCGGCGCATGGAGCAGCGTCCGAGGTCACGGCGGCCGGCCAGCGACGCAGCACAATGTCCCGACTGGTGGAGCGGGACGAAAAGGTTACGCGCTTATCGACTAAGTCGAGTCATGTTTGTCTTTCCTTAAGGCGTTGGATCGACGCAGCTGTGTGCTTTTCATATGGGCGTTTGACGGTGGGAAGCCAGCGGCAAACCCCATACGACCGGACAATAGGCGATGAAACCGTTCAATGGCGGTCACGTGGAGAACTTGGCTCCATGTGACGACATATTCCTGACAAGCAACAGGCCGCGACATTTTCGTGCCAGGCGTTATTACTAACCATGCGACATCCTTGCAGTTGTTAATGTTAAAGCTCAACAAGTGTCAGGTCCGCACTAGCGACTCAAACTTTCGCCTGGCCTCCGACAGTTGCCAGTGTCAGCCAATGGGGTCGTGGGCTGCTCGTCCCGTTGATCTAGTTGGCTACAGACTACCCCCAGTCTTGGGTTTCAATTAGCCACACTGGCAGTCCCGTCAGTACTATTCGGTCATACATCGTTCGCCGTCAGTCTGAAAGTCCGTCAGTCTGGCTCAGGTCCACCAGTCTCAGCCAGTCACAGAATACCATCCTTCAGTCCCGTCAGTCTAAGCCAGTCACGGAATGCCAGCCTTCAGTCTCAGACACCTCACACAGCTACATTCGGCCACGCCGCTCCAGCCCACGGCGGAAAAGCACGGGGCAGGGAACAGTTCCGTGGCCTTCACTCCACCTGACCCGGCGGACCGCATTATCGGCCTCCTCTGGCTCACCACCGCGAGCGGTGAGCGCGTTGCAACAGGCAGAGCGGCGAGAGTTGCTGGGTAGAGCAGGCAGAGCAATGGGCGCCGATGGGCAGAGCGCTAAGCGCCAGCCGCCCCCCCCCCCCCGCCGCAAATGGGCGGCCAGTCAGCAATTTTCACCAGCCCAGCCCCGCAGCCGGCTGCAACAACGAGCCACCCGGATGCGACGGATCCATTCACGTGCTGAGCCACCAACAAACGCTGCCTGCTCGTACAAGGATCCAGCCGCATCGCACCGTCAACCGTGTGTTATTCCAACACACATCGGTTCTCGTAAGGCGCTGATGTGTAGAGCGTTTGGACAGCGCTCTCAGTCTCAGTCTGTATAGCTGACGCCACCACAATAACAAACGACCGCGCCAGGGCGGCGGATAACCCGGCACCGCCGCGGGCCGAGGAAACTCCGACTCAGACGGCCTGTGGACCTGACAAACGGCTTAAACTCGGGCCACTGAACGCCTGTCGAATGGGAGAAGGGCAGGGCAGGGCCATGGTCCGTCCGAGGGCAGGGTCTTGGCCGCCGCACCGCCATACGACCCTCTCAACAGGCAAGCCATCAATATGCCGGAGCGCCAATATCAACACAAGATTCCTGAGGGCGAGATAAACATTGCCTGCCATAGGATCAGCTCCATCCCAGCCACAAGCCAAACCCACTCACCCTAAGAACACACTGCAGTCTTCCACTAAAACTCCTGTAGCTGTGACCGATTCAAAGGCTCGTCCGCCACACCCTCCTCTCTCTCGACACCGAGGTGCACTGCGCCGTCTGCGCAGCACACGCCGCGCCGACCGACCGGCCGACGACGGCCGTGACGTCACAATGAGCGAACGATGACGTCATCCGCGGCCGAGTGGCACCACGGCGGGCGGCTCTTCTTCCGTGATCCGGGGAAGCCCCACGTTCCTAATCTGCGCGGCCATAGGTTATGGTGACGGTGGGGTCGAGGAGTGCGGTGAGCTGCGGTCTGGCGAACGTTCAGGAGCAGTCGGCAGGGAGGGAGGGAGAGGGAGAGGGAGAGGGAGAGGGAGAGGGAGAGGGAGAGAGAGAGAGAGAGAGAGAGAGAGAGAGAGAGAGAGAGAGAGAGAGAGAGAGAGAGAGAGAGAGAGAGAGAGAGAGAGAGAGAGAGAGAGAGAGAGAGAGAGAGAGAGAGAGAGAGAGAGAGAGAGAGAGAGAGAGAGAGAGAGAGCTGGGAGAAGTCTCACCGAGGACAGCCACTAGCTCGCCGAGGTCCCTGCGGGCGCAGCAGGGTTAGTCACATCAGTGCCCGAAGTCCGAGACACCGACAAGACATCGGCATCGGTCGTGCCGTGCGGTTCGTTGGATAACAACAAACGAGTTCATAACGGACACTACTGCACGCATCCATCCATACCTATATCGTGTCCCACGCCAAACATATGTGGAATAACGAGACGTACAACTCAATGATGAAACAGCCCGAGGGAACATCAAACACGCATAAAGGCAAATAATACGTGTCCCAAACCTGTCCCCACCAAGCGCCCTTTTCCTTTCGAATGACGTCAACGTGACGTCACACCACTGAACGACTGCCACGTCATCTCATGCCTGGGCAGCACTGTGACAGGGCGAGAAGACGGCATTTGACGTCACGGGTGACGCAATAATGATCAGATAAGCAGCCCGAAGCAGGCCTGAGAAGTGAGAACCGAGGCCACCCAATTGCCCGGCCGCGAGCACGTTGTGACGTCCGATGAGTCAGCGTAGTGAAACTGCAGAGGAGCAATGTTGCCGCGTGGGCCCAGGAAGTGTAGACGCGTGCAGTGTGACTGTGCACCCCTTGGTGCACCCTAATAGCATACACGTAGTGCTTAAAGGGACCCTCCCACCTTCAAAAAAGTTAATGAATTGGCATGAAAGTGATGTCGCTCGGTTCAGAAAGAGCAAAAACGAATATCTACCAAATTTCATCGAAAAATATCCACCGGTTTTCAAGATATTAGACTTTTACTTTTGTTTACTTTTTGGGATCTCCGCTGTTCCTAGCGACTTTATTTGAAAGTGCGGCATTTGTTGCGCGCAAAGCAGCATATACCACCGCGTGCTACAAAACGTTTTAGTCAAACATTTAACGGACGTTCGAAAGCCTGATGACGTCATCAGATTCCCGTAATGGTTAAGAGATAGGGACCACGCTGGTCCCACCCTGCAAGTAAAGGGAAGAAATTTCTTGAACACCATAAAGCTGCGGGGGTTGCGACCAGGATAAATGGTGGTTTCTGAGCCTGGCCGCAAACTTGGCTATCTCAACTCAAAACTAATGTTAAGGTGGTAGGGTCCCTTTAATAGAGAATAACCCATTAGTAAATAGAGAAACACCAGAACATATAGGGAAAAGTGGATATGCGACAAAGGAAAACAACGTGTCTAGGTAGGTATAGGTGATCATCAGGTGTGTTGAATATAGATCGCAGTAGTCGATGCTATTACGCCAGTATGATGAATGGTGTTTATTATTATGTGACAAGAAGGAAGACAAGCACCCAGTTGCCCATATAAAATCAAAAGACGGACAACCACTGAAATGATGACAGCCAGGGTCAGCCAGGAAAGAGTCCGTGCATTTTAATAGCCGAAAAGATATCCAAACAAATATCCAAACAATGCATTCCGAGAGCCAGAGCAGCTACCTACATGAGAGCTGTAGTAGCAACATGAGGTAGTTGTTATACGGGGCTCAAAGGAAATAAGTGCGACAAGGCACTGGAATAGCTCGGCACGATGTGTCTGTTGTCAGCGGTTAGGTATAATGAACCGAAATCCAGTCGTCGACCTGTGCCGAGCGCAAAGGACTCGCGGTAGACCTCCGCCAGCAACGACCCAAAAGACCAGCAACCAGCTTGAACACGGTTTCGATTCAGTTCCACAAGATCGATGACGTTGCAGTGATAGAGAACGTTACGGACCTAGGCAAAGAACACCAGACTTCAACTGGCCACTTTCCAGTATCTACTTGGCTCAGTTCCAACCAAATGTTAACATAGCGAATTCCCCCGACAAGGCTTTTCAAACTTGGAGTTTGGATGGTCTCCTTTTGATATTGTAACTTCGCCGAAATCTAGCATCAACATCAAATAGGAAGCGACCGAAACGTTGTTAAAATGTTTCATCGAGATTTCACTTTCCTCTCCACCAACCCATTGTCAATGCCCAATGGGCATCTCAGACGCCAAGCGGTGAGGCCCTGAGGTAGCATCTGACCATTGACCGGTAGTACAGGGCCAGGCGAGCGAAACTGAAACGACCGATTCCTACCGATGCCACGAAGCGAATATTCCAACCAGACATCAGAAGCGCCTACCGGCTCCGCGTCAGAGGAGCCTGTGTACTGTTCACCTAAATATAGCTCAATCGCGAGAGGATCAATACTGGCGACTGACCAAGTCAGATCATATCCATACACGGTACACCCGAGAAGACGGCAATGGCGGACTCAACTACAAGCCTTCAGCAGTTAGAGCGGGGGCACAACTCACCAGTTTCATTGAGAAAAAAGGATTATAAGAGACTGATCCGGGAACTATTGAGTTACTGGAAAAAGAGACAGTCCTCACTCTAAGAAAAACTCGCTTGAAGCCCGAAATGTCCGAGATGGAGGTGTCGACTTTCGGCTTTCTTCGTTTCTTTTCTTTTAATCAAATAATTTCGATCTGTGCTGCTTCTTAGCGGGCGGTCATCTTAGCGACCAGGTGCTGCGCCACAAACCACTGGCGTTATCTTTGAGTTTGATAACGCCAGTTTCAGCTGCACCTACAATCTTCTGAGGCTGCTAGTCAGCTTCTGTTTATCTATGTCCCCAAGAAGATAGCTCAGAGTGTCTCTATTAGATGGATATTGCGGGACCATATCACAGACCCATCCTTCATCTGACATCTACATTAAAGTCCAGCAGATTCGATTTGAACTATTGATGGGCTCAAAAAGCAGGTGCTCTAGAGAGAGTAGCAAAGGTACGAGTAATTATGAATGTAAAATGAAGTCTCAGGGATTCTCTGAAGATTAATGAATCCATGGACCACAGCTCCATGGGTATAGGACAGTGAGCCAATTAAAAAAAAAATCATTCTTATAACTTGTGTAACCTTTCGCTCAGCCTCACACCAAATGCTTACAGGATCATTCATTTTTTCTAATTTTTGTCAGCTTTCGCTAAGCCTCATGCACATCTTGTCAATTCCTGGATTCTTCTTCCAGGAGCACTTCAAGGTCTGTCAGGTATCAGGTACAAAGCCCTTGCACTGCACAGTGTTGGTCACTTTCATTGCTCAGGGTTACATGAGCAGAGTTAATACGCATTACAAACGGACTACAATGGTGAGCGAATAGGAAAATCCGTTCCTGATACGCATTTACTTGCTCATGTACCCCCGGTAATTGATGAGACAAGCCTCCCTTTCCAGTACTTTCAACCATTTTGGTCATGATGGAGGGGCAGGTGAATGCCGTAATCCAGAACCATCACAGATCACCATTTCTGCTGGGAGAAAGGAGTCAACGGCAAACCGGACTGCCACTAACTGGCCCCAGACTATGTTGTCTCAGACAGAGCTGGGCTCCTCCAAAATCTGCCCCACACCCTTGACCACACCACAGCTCACATCTGCACTGCACTGCGACCGCAGTACCTGCAGGCCCTGGCCGGGTCATGGGCTTTTATGGAGTCCCTTGTAAAAGACTGCTCTTTGACCTACCTACCTGATCTTGTCAACACGACCTGTTTATTGGGTATTCTTAGAGCAGGCGTCTCACACGCTGCCACCGGTTTGGGAAAAGTCGCTAGATTCGTAAGGTCTAGATATATTTCTACCAAATCGTTTTATAGGGTATCATGTATCATGTATCATGTATTAACAGCAATCACGAATGCCGGTTGGCCCTGGTGATGTTAAATCTGGTTCACACATTATGCACACATCAGTATCGCACATACACACAAGTACATACACACAAGTCTGGGGTAATTACATAGTGGCAATTTAAAAAACGGAGTCAGTTTATTTTCTGAGGGGGAGGCAAAGGGGGGGTACAGTGACGTACACACTACACAGATAACTTGTTTCCCGGGAACGCCTTATCGGAGCCAGGCTTGAAAGGCAGCGTTGGAAAGCGTTCGAGTAGACAAGCCTAATTAGTAATGCAAATTATCATCGGATTGGGCCTTGGGGGGCGCAGGGGGAGATTGCCCCTTGACCGATAGCCCGGGAACAGCTGATCGGAGCCAGGCTTGCAAGGCGACATTGGAAGCGTCTCGAGTGGATGAAGCTTGGCTCCGATCAGCCGTTCCCGAGCTATCAATCAGAGGCAATCCCAAGCACCCCCCCCCCCCCAGTATCCCAATGATAGTTTGCATAACTGATTAGGTTTGTCTACTCGAACGTTTTCCAACGCCGCCAAATGGTAGGTTGTGGGTTGTTTTTAGGGCCTTGGTAGGTTGTACTAGGTTGTAGGTTAGCACTTAGCAGGCTTGTAGCTTTCATTTGTTTGTAACCTAGCTATAATACCAAAAATATATGGGATTAATTATTATTGATTTACTTTTGCCTTGCTCATTGTTGTCATTGTCAGCATTGGCATAACCTGCGTCCTGCGGTAAATATTTACAATTCAAATAAGTCTGATTCACTTTTCAAGCATAAATTTTGCATATATTTACATAATTTGACATCCTGAATTTAAATATGATGCTTACATGTGGCACAAATGTAAGAAACACATAACGTAACCTGTCCTAACTCACCCTTCCTCTTGCGTCCAACTCAGCGGGACAGGGGGACAACGTGTAGAGAAAAATAACAACATCTATGTACGACACGAGTTTCAAGGAACAGCTAAAGCAAAACAATTTGGGCTGAAAATAGGAGCCACCAAATGAAAGCATTTGACGAGCTTCACCAAAAGTCGCAAGCCGCGCAGCATATTTACGTCTGGACAACGAGTTGCGGGGAAAAGTGCTGATTGTGTTGCAGTTTTAGGAGCCGGTGATTAGGCTGGATTTTTGGGTTACTTTTTCGTTCCGATTCATGTATTTCATAGTGTTTGGCTTTTGAATATTTTAGTTCTTTCAGATATATATTACTTGCCTTACAACTTTTGTAAAAACGTTTCATTTTTTTATAAGCCGACGTTCAGAGTCCTAAAAATACATCAGCACTACAATCATTGTAAATTGTAAACAAACAAATGGAGCACCACTTGGCTCTGTTCCAAGGCCAGTTTTTAGTTTATCTGGTGGTTTTCTTGCTCTTGTACGTCGTTTTGTTGGATGCTTTGAATCCCTTAAGATTGACTTATATCATATATAAGAAGCATGTTGACTGAAAACAATCTGAAGTATCCAGGAGGCTGACAGAGGTCCTGACTAGTGACTACTGAGCAATATCAATATCAAGTTGAACAAGTTATGAAATTTTGGTTGATAAACGCAAGTTGATCGGGCTCATATATCAGCAAGAAAAAGTAAAATTAAAAGAGCTTATTGTCCATAAACAAGCTGTAATATTGCAGACCTTGGAGCAATACTGCAGAGCACGTTGAGCAGGATCATGCCAGAAAATGTTGACTGATGAGCGCATATTGATGTATTGGTATGAATATTGAATGATAACTTACAACAGCAAGATAAATTAGTGCTAACTATCAAGTTAAAATCTAGAATGAATGAACTTGGGCAGTTTTACTATGCTTAGATGCTATGCAGATTGTAATGTGCATCAGGTACTCAGTGTCTGGCAAATGAAACATGCGATCATTCCATTGCTACTGGAGGAGAAAGCTTGGATCACTAAATCCACTTAATGTTGATTTTGATATTAATCATCATCACTGTATTTCTTGAAAAAAAGGATTGTAGTAAAATTGTCAATGTGACAATCCATGCAACAATGTGATCATTTTATGTGTTCATAGTCATTCGTGATAGTCATTATTGGTCCAATATACAATGGCAAAGCTCTCAGTCTCAGCGTTTCTTCCTGTGGATGGCCAGCAGTGACTCAGAGCTTAGAAGTATTAGTTTTCTTCACAGGGCTGGGATAAAAAGTACTGAGGGTAATCTTCCACCAAGGAACTCTACTTTGACATGGTATGAGATGTAGGCACAAGTAGGTAGGTGCTCAGTTCCTATAGTCAGTAGTTGTGTATGTTTAGTTGGGTTAGCTTAGATCAGATTGTTAGTTTTTTAATTTGCCAAATGTCCATAAAAATGTGACCCGACCCGAGCAATGAGCATACCTGAACCTGACTTGACAGCTGATCTAACCTCAATCATCACACATATTTGCAGCCTACCCAAGACCTGCATGGCAGTAGCACCCAGTTATAGGTAGGTACTCACCCTAACTCAATCTTACCTGCTAACCTTCAACTTGCCAAAAGTTAGCTCACATTGCCAAGCTGTGTCCAGGGAAACAGTCAACTGAGGAACTGGCTCATTGGGTGGCTGGTGTGAGTCTGTGAATTTAAAGTGTTTCTTCTCTGAAGCTGCTCTGCACTACTGTATATGTCATGTTAGATGCTCAGAAAATGTGGGAAATGATTACTAAGCTACTTTAGTGCTTTGTTAATGCTCAAGACATGAACAAGTACAGATCCTGCAGGGTACAGCTATGAGTTAGGTGCTAGGTGAGTATGTTATGTGAATGTACTGTTCCCTGTTTGACCGTAAGTATACAAACAAACAACTCCAAACACACCACAAATAACTTAAGCCTTTGAAGGCACAAAAATGTTTTGATTAACAGGACAGGTTTACAATATACAGGGTGGGGCAGCATAATCGGGAATGCTTTTTGGGCTCTGATCATGAGTAGGCATGGCATTATTTTTATAAATTATATTATGGCAATGAAACGCCCAAAAGTTGTGCATCATCTGACATGACTACATCCATGAGCATGCAACTTCCTGGAAAAGAGCAGCAAAATAGTTCGACGGTGCTCCAAGTGCTTTGCGCGCGCCCATAGACACTAATGTTAAACAAGTAAAACAAGAACATTTTGTTTAAAACCCTGCAATTCCACGTAAAGGTTGCTGGGCAGGTCAACGTGTTATCACGGACGATAAGGATTGTGTGGGGATACTTAGGACAACAGGTTAACGTAATCGTCGTAAAATAACTCTTAGCAGAGGACATACAAGATGACTCACTTGAATATAAGGAAGAAGCACTTGAGCATATTAAAAAGAAACAATGTTCAAAACTTCAGCGACAAAAAATCTTATCACCGACTGGAATACGATAAAAAAGAATGGCATGCCATATAGGGGATTGTATCGAGAATATTCCAGCGGTCATGCAAAGTAAACATCCTGTTGGGGTGATGGACCTATGGGTGGTCTTCAAGGGAGGTGCACGTGGTGCACCCTACTTCATCGAGCCCGGATAAAATGAGCACCTCTGGTAAATACAACCGCACTCTGGCAGACTCACGTGAAGCCGTCGGAAGAGAGGATCACTGACGGTCCAAATCACGTCTTACGAGGACTCTGTCCGTGCTGGTACTGCAGTGAGGACGACATGTTATTGTGTAGGGCACCTCCACCTGAGATGAACCAAAAACTTCTGGTCCTTCAACTCCGCCGATTTAAATCCGACCAAATTCTTTACATGGAGCGTTTTTTGGTAGAAGTTTAATGAACAACTTATCATCAGTAAAAACAGTCTTCAGTGCAAGGTACGAAGCTGATGGGCGATCATGGACAAGCAGGAGGTTGCACGTGCATGCGCGTGCTTTTGGACCCGCCTTGAGAAGGTCATCGACGCCGAGGGCGGTCAAATAGGATGAGGGATAGGTAAAAGGTGACCGATTGATAGGATGTTGCTAAAATAGTGCTTGGAGCTATATTTTTAGATTCATGACCAAATAATCCCGTTTGATATTTATTCCCGATTATGCTGCCCCACCCTGTACATCCTCTGTCCTTGGGGGATCTTGCTACCAAGTTGAGGTATGATGACTGAACTTCAGGATTGATCAACCTTTTCTTAGCCACTGCTTATAAACGAGAAAGACCAAATGCTTGTTTGTAAACTGCGTTGAAAATTTAATGATCCACCTTCAATTCTGACATGAAGACACAAATGAAATAGTTCCCTCTCCTTTTGGAATACACAAAGCAAAATATTTAATACATTTTAGTGGATGGACAAGAGCAATTGGCATAGCTTTCCCCCAAGTTAACTTCTGGCACTCTGACGCTTATTCGCTTCATATTTTGTGCGCGCCCTAACTCTTCAACAACAACAACAGCTTCATATTTTGTAACAAACGCGCTAAAACTGCAATATAACAGCACTATATGCTTCTTGACAAAATGCAATAGTATTAAAAATTTAGCCCTGATGGCATTCATTCTTGGTGGAAACGTAATAACAAAATATTTTGTAGTAATCATTAAATTCCGGCCGAAAACAGTGCACGGTTTAAAAAAGAATCATTCCAGTGACGGTCCATTCTTGCGGTCCTGAAATCGCCACTATTTCCGGCCTCTCCAACGCAACTCGTTGTCCAGACGTAAATATGCAGCCGCGCATGCATATTGCATATTCATGTGCAAAATTACTTTCAACTTCGTTTACATGTTCTAAAAAAAGTCCTTATAAAGCCATGAAACGTTCTCAGCTCGGTGCAGTTCGAGGTGATCGAGCAAGTTACTCGATCATTTTCCCCTTCAAGACTGATATCCATTGATATCCCACGATTCAAGAGAAAAATTTTAAATCTCAACTTTTTTTCTCAAGATATAAGAAAAGTTTTATAAAACTTCTCAAATATGCTACACAATACCGTGACGTCATGCTGCCAAATGTCTGTAACATGCTAATACGTCTATGATGCGTCAATTTTGTATAAATTTGGATTGCGCAATATACTGCCTTGGCGCAATGTTTTGGTAGCGACGCAACGGTAAATTGAAAATTGAAATAAGTTGAAGTGGGCGCAACCAGTCGGTGTTTGGGACGACGGTGAAAACAGGGCGCCTGGGGCGATTTGATCAAGGTTCGTGAAATTCACACGTGACGTTTAGCATACATAGAAAGCCCATGGAGGGGGAGAAGTGCTAAATGTCACGTGACTAATATGCCCTCAGGCGCCCTGTTTTCACCGGCGTCCGGTGTTTGAGTGCCGGAGAGGTCTGTGGGGTACATTATCATTATTTTACCTTATTCTAATTGGAGATACCTGTGCCTCGTCCTTAACCGTACCGTTTGCCGTCGACCGTCACTGGCTCCGTAACGCGAGCAGAGTTTACGTTTACTGGATGTGCTTTTTAATTTTTATCTTAGCTCATCGCCTCGGTATGCATTTTGTCACTTTTTCATCTTAACTTTTAATAATGTCTCGTTTATGTTATGCAGGTTGACTCATTAGCATCAACCCACCACGTGGAATGGTCTATAACTAAACAGAACGGAATGAAGCGGAACAGAACTTTTCAGTGGGAATTAATCTCAGTTCAGTTGTTACTTGTTAATTGGGCTAATTGTGTGTTAGCATGACCATGTTGGCCTTGGGACATAGCTTGGCCATAACCTTGGCTTGGCAGCAATGATCGCGGTCATGGCCATGGGCTTAATTTTCATGGGGTCTCAGTCTAGAGACATTCGTCTCACTTGATTTTTATCCATTGGTTGCCTGAATTTTAAAGAATATCACAGAAGTTCTGCTTTCATTGAACCATTGTTCCATTCTGAATTTTGATATTTGATCTGACGTTATTCAAGTGCTCCCACTAGACTTAGAAATAGAACCCTTGAAGTTTTCTTGAAATGCATTAAATTTGTGAGGTACCTAAGGTGGGTAGGTACCTAATAACAGACCATGTTTTTAAGGAGGGCTCATTACTCAAGGCATTTGCCTGGAATTAGATCAAAATTGCCTCTAAAAATATTTGAGTTTGTGAGGCAGGCATTTTCAATGGTAGGTACTGAACTCATCAAGCATCAGTTTTACTGCTATTTCCTAATTGTTATATTTTCTCTTTCATCAGTCTCTATCATTCCTTCTTTCTCATTCATAAATATGCGCCTAAATCTTAACATGTCATTCTTTTCTTGTCAATGTAGGTAATTTGCAAATGAATGACATGCAAATTTACCGTTTTTTTTACCCTTTCAGATTGAGATTCATGAGAAGGTTGCCAAGAGCCAGTTGATGTAAAGGGAATAGTTAAGTGATAACCCTTGTCTTTCAGTATGCCACATAATGGAGTTATCATTGTTCATGTTGGTAAGTATCTTGATCTACAGCTACAGTATTATGAGAAGTGGTAAGGGTCATGCTGAGTTCATTGAAGTGAAACTGTCTTTCTTTTACCACAGCAAGGTTTGTGTGTTTGTTACCAAATACCAACACTTGATGAGTTAGATCAGTGGCAGGCTGCTTAATATGTTATAATTCAAATTTGTGTCCAGGTATCAAGACACAATGTTCCCACTTGCTGTGCTACTGATGCATTTTAAAAATGAAAACTTCTATAAAATAAAACTGCATTGAATCATATTCAATTTGAAAAAAAACTATATTTTCTCCAGTTACTGGGAAGCCACCGCCTACCAGATATATCAGTGTGTTCCTCTAGCAGCACCTTTGTATAGCTTCTCAAGCTACTCGACCCCATTGATCTATTATTCAATTACAATAGATATCAGAGCCAGACAATCTGAATCTGTTTAGACAATAAAATCCGCTCGTTTTACCGGACACGTGCCAGTAGCAGTAGCGTGCTCCGAGGTAGGATGATGTCCGTCACATTGGCAGTTGGTTTCTCTGTATTCGTGTCTCTAACGTATGTGACACCCTTCCTCAGGAGCTGGCTACCACAGCCAGAGCAAGGTGTCCGAGTACCGAAAGGCATGCTCGGACGCGCTTCTCAAGGTAAGAAGACGTCTCTCCCGGCTCCCAGTCCCATCCCCTTCCAGTGACCTACCGCTGCCTCTCAATGACATGGCCCTGTACGAAGCAGTGGCGCGGCGTTGACCATCCCCTAGCGCGCCTATTTCGGGGAGTGGCCGTTTGGCATGACGCACCAGACGTCCTTGTGGGCCGGCCCGGACCGCCCGGCGGGCCACAATGGTGTCAGAACTCAGATCGGACTCGGCGCGATGCATTTGGGTCGGACGGGGAGGGGGTGAAGGGGGGGGGCTGACGCAACAGTCCCCCGGCAGCGGTACTGCTGGCGCTGCTGTACATGGTGGGCTGCCGAAACCGGCCGCCGCCCGGCGTCAGGGAGCCACGTTCCGGCAGGACGCGCCGTGCCAGGCCGGGGCGCGGAAGGGCGGGGGAGGGGTCGCCCTGTGATATCAACATTCAACATCCCAGGGGTCGTTGGGTACGATGGTTGGTGCGCCGGCCGGGCCACCCAACCATGCAGGGGTGACAACTGACACGGCTGGTTTTAGCTACCCACGGAACTGGACTGGTAGTGCCGAGAATGATTGTGATGAATTTTGATTGACGGGAAATGCCGGTCGGTTTTTGGTTGCGGACTAAGGACACCGATTCCGTTCCGCGGCAGAACGGTGGAATTGGGGACTGTGTCGACTGCAGCATAGGGTAGGGATTGGCGTTTTACGGTGCGATCTGTCATACAGAGTCTGAACGGGCTCTGTATACTCTGTGTCTGTATATCTCCTTCAGCGATCATTCTCTGCTGTCAACGAGAACTCCCGCAGCGATAATTTCCCAACCCTCGACCCGACTGCCAACCCCACCAGTGACCCAAGACCCAAATTCGTAATCCATGACCCATGACCTCTGATGGGCGAATTGTGACCTCTGACCGGTGACCCGTGCTCCCTCAGGCGGTGCAGCTGCTGCGCGCCGGTGTCGAGGCGGCCGCCGTGGCCGCCGAGGCCATCTCCGTGCTGGAGGCGGCGGCGTGTACAAACGCCGGGCGCGGCTCGAACCTCACGCTGGACGGCACGGTCGAGTGTGACGCCGGCCTGATGGTGGACCGCGGCGCCGGCGGCCGGTTCGCCGGTGTCGGCGCCGCGCCCCGGCTGGCCCACCCGGTGCGCGTGGCGCTGAGAATGCTGGAGGTGCAGCAGAGAGGACTCTCGCTCGGCAGGGAGCCGCCAAAGTGAGTCTGACAATAGCGTGAATTGCTAGGTTTGGAAATGGAAGGCTGCTCTCTCTGGAAAAAAATAGAGACGGTGAAGTTAACGGTTGTTTATTTTTATGGAAAGCGTTATCTGAAGATAAGACTGTTGTCATCACAGAAAAACAAAGTTATTGAGAACTTCATCCCGAGGTTACAGAACATTGACGTAGCAAACAACTGACAGTTATCGGTGTTCTCGGCTGAGTCATTCAGTTGTCATCAAAATACATTATGGGGTGTTGTATACCTTAGTGTCTGTGTTGGCTAACCCATCAGTACAGAGCTCTCTTAGCCAGCTGTCCAGTCTGTCATCGTCATGTTTAGCCCTCCCTATCCCCACCGGAGCTCTAACTGTGTCTGACCCTTTGCGCCCATCCCCCACCCCCTCCCCCGTCTCCAGTCTACTGGTGGGCGAGGGCGCCGTGCGGTGGGCCGAGGCGCAGTCGCTGCCAGTCAGTCCGGCCAGCCACCTGGTGACCCCCGAGGCACAGCGGCGCTACGACAAGTACCGCCGGTCGCTGGACGAGGTCGACCGAGAGCGGACGGCCGACCGGAAGCGGCCCCGGTTGGAGGCGGCAGACGTAAGGACGGCGCTCGGGGAAGCCGGGGGAGGGACTTTGAAAGGGAAACGGCGTGTTCCAGTGTGTCGTTTAGCAGCTGTGCGTAGGTCCGTGATGAAATAGCACGTGAGGTAGATTTCGCCATTCCTTAGGGAGCGTTTCCTTGAGTTGTGAATATTTGTACGCGTGATTTAACAGATGCTATTCAGCGATCAAACTTCGCTGGAAATATTACCGGCATGCTGCGGCTAAATTTGGAAAGCCGAAGTCGTTATTGTAACACAGTTTGAAGTTTGAAGCCTTGTGAAAGTTTAGTGTGAGAGTTTGAGTACGAATAGGATCCTGGTTCACATAATCGTCATGCTGGAAACTATTTTCAATATTATTACGGCCATTGGTCGATTTATACTGTCTAAAACAAGACTGCAACTGTAAATGCATTATGATGCTGCTTCTTTTGGTTTGGTTGAGCCTGCTGTGTAGTGTAATGCTGTCATCGCGACGCCCCGTCTAAGCATGCGGTGTTCCCCCGACCGAACCCCTCCCAGCATGCAGCCCACGGCGCGACACAAAAGCAGATAATCTGCCGGGAACACCTTGTTTGTCATGGATTCCCGCTAAAATTACGCTAGACCTGCGCCTTTTGGCAGATACAGGTGGTCATTTAACCAACGATTCCTGAAACCAGCACTGTCTTTCAATCACCGTGCTTCACAACCACTAGTTCCAGCAGCATTAGCCAGCCGCCTGTACCGGTCTATGTATGTATGCCGGCAGGAGACGGACAGCGAGCTCCGTGACACGGTGGGTGCCGTGGTCCTGGACTGTTCGGGTCACATCGCAGCCGCCTCCTCCAGCGGCGGCATCATGCTCAAACACCCCGGCAGAGTCGGACAGGTGAGCTGCTCATATAACCCGATGACAGGGAGAGGTCACACTCACAGGGACAAATATCAAACACCCCGGCAGGGTCGGACAGGTGAGCTACTCATATAACCTGATGACAGGGAGAGGTCACACTCACAGGGACAAATATCAAACACCCCGGCAGAGTCGGACAGGTGAGCTACTCATATAACCTGATGACAGGGAGAGGTCACACTCACAGGGACAAATATCAAACACCCCGGCAGAGTCGGACAGGTGAGCTACTCATATAACCTGATGACAGGGAGAGGTCACACTCACAGGGACAAATATCAAACACCCTGGCAGAGTCGGACAGGTGAGCTACTCATATAACCTGATGACAGGGAGAGGTCACACTCACAGGGACAAATATCAAACACCCCGGCAGAGTCGGACAGGTGAGCTACTCATATAACCTGATGACAGGGAGAGGTCACACTCACAGGGACAAATATCAAACACCCCGGCAGAGTCGGACAGGTGAGCTACTCATATAACCTGATGACAGGGAGAGGTCACACTCACAGGGACAAATATCAAACACCCCGGCAGAGTCGGACAGGTGAGCTACTCATATAACCTGATGACAGGGAGAGGTCACACTCACAGGGACAAATATCAAACACCCCGGCAGAGTCGGACAGGTGAGCTACTCATATAACCTGATGACAGGGAGAGGTCACACTCACAGGGACAAATATCAAACACCCCGGCAGAGTCGGACAGGTGAGCTACTCATATAACCTGATGACAGGGAGAGGTCACACTCACAGGGACAAATATCAAACACCCCGGCAGGGTCGGACAGGTGAGCTACTCATATAACCTGATGACAGGGAGAGGTCACACTCACAGGGACAAATATCAAACACCCCGGCAGAGTCGGACAGGTGAGCTACTCATATAACCTGATGACAGGGAGAGGTCACACTCACAGGGACAAATATCAAACACCCCGGCAGAGTCGGACAGGTGAGCTACTCATATAACCTGATGACAGGGAGAGGTCACACTCACAGGGACAAATATCAAACACCCCGGCAGAGTCGGACAGGTGAGCTACTCATATAACCTGATGACAGGGAGAGGTCACACTCACAGGGACAAATATCAAACACCCCGGCAGAGTCGGACAGGTGAGCTACTCATATAACCTGATGACAGGGAGAGGTCACACTCACAGGGACAAATATCAAACACCCCGGCAGAGTCGGACAGGTGAGCTACTCATATAACCTGATGACAGGGAGAGGTCACACTCACAGGGACAAATATCAAACACCCCGGCAGAGTCGGACAGGTGAGCTACTCATATAACCTGATGACAGGGAGAGGTCACACTCACAGGGACAAATATCAAACACCCCGGCAGAGTCGGACAGGTGAGCTACTCATATAACCTGATGACAGGGAGAGGTCACACTCACAGGGACAAATATCAAACACCCCGGCAGAGTCGGACAGGTGAGCTACTCATATAACCTGATGACAGGGAGAGGTCACACTCACAGGGACAAATATCAAACACCCCGGCAGAGTCGGACAGGTGAGCTACTCATATAACCTGATGACAGGGAGAGGTCACACTCACAGGGACAAATATCAAACACCCCGGCAGGGTCGGACAGGTGAGCTACTCATATAACCTGATGACAGGGAGAGGTCACACTCACAGGGACAAATATCAAACACCCCGGCAGAGTCGGACAGGTGAGCTACTCATATAACCTGATGACAGGGAGAGGTCACACTCACAGGGACAAATATCAAACACCCCGGCAGGGTCGGACAGGTGAGCTACTCATATAACCTGATGACAGGGAGAGGTCACACTCACAGGGACAAATATCAAACACCCCGGCAGAGTCGGACAGGTGAGCTACTCATATAACCTGATGACAGGGAGAGGTCACACTCACAGGGACAAATATCAAACACCCCGGCAGAGTCGGACAGGTGAGCTACTCATATAACCTGATGACAGGGAGAGGTCACACTCACAGGGACAAATATCAAACACCCTGGCAGAGTCGGACAGGTGAGCTACTCATATAACCTGATGACAGGGAGAGGTCACACTCACAGGGACAAATATCAAACACCCCGGCAGAGTCGGACAGGTGAGCTACTCATATAACCTGATGACAGGGAGAGGTCACACTCACAGGGACAAATATCAAACACCCCGGCAGAGTCGGACAGGTGAGCTACTCATATAACCTGATGACAGGGAGAGGTCACACTCACAGGGACAAATATCAAACACCCCGGCAGAGTCGGACAGGTGAGCTACTCATATAACCTGATGACAGGGAGAGGTCACACTCACAGGGACAAATATCAAACACCCTGGCAGAGTCGGACAGGTGAGCTACTCATATAACCTGATGACAGGGAGAGGTCACACTCACAGGGACAAATATCAAACACCCCGGCAGAGTCGGACAGGTGAGCTACTCATATAACCTGATGACAGGGAGAGGTCACACTCACAGGGACAAATATCAAACACCCCGGCAGAGTCGGACAGGTGAGCTACTCATATAACCTGATGACAGGGAGAGGTCACACTCACAGGGACAAATATCAAACACCCCGGCAGAGTCGGACAGGTGAGCTACTCATATAACCTGATGACAGGGAGAGGTCACACTCACAGGGACAAATATCAAACACCCCGGCAGAGTCGGACAGGTGAGCTACTCATATAACCTGATGACAGGGAGAGGTCACACTCACAGGGACAAATATCAAACACCCCGGCAGAGTCGGACAGGTGAGCTACTCATATAACCTGATGACAGGGAGAGGTCACACTCACAGGGACAAATATCAAACACCCCGGCAGAGTCGGACAGGTGAGCTACTCATATAACCTGATGACAGGGAGAGGTCACACTCACAGGGACAAATATCAAACACCCCGGCAGAGTCGGACAGGTGAGCTACTCATATAACCTGATGACAGGGAGAGGTCACACTCACAGGGACAAATATCAAACACCCCGGCAGGGTCGGACAGGTGAGCTACTCATATAACCTGATGACAGGGAGAGGTCACACTCACAGGGACAAATATCAAACACCCCGGCAGGGTCGGACAGGTGAGCTACTCATATAACCTGATGACAGGGAGAGGTCACACTCACAGGGACAAATATCAAACACCCCGGCAGGGTCGGACAGGTGAGCTACTCATATAACCTGATGACAGGGAGAGGTCACACTCACAGGGACAAATATCAAACACCCCGGCAGGGTCGGACAGGTGAGCTACTCATATAACCTGATGACAGGGAGAGGTCACACTCACAGGGACAAATATCAAACACCCCGGCAGGGTCGGACAGGTGAGCTACTCATATAACCTGATGACAGGGAGAGGTCACACTCACAGGGACAAATATCAAACACCCCGGCAGAGTCGGACAGGTGAGCTACTCATATAACCTGATGACAGGGAGAGGTCACACTCACAGGGACAAATATCAAACACCCCGGCAGGGTCGGACAGGTGAGCTACTCATATAACCTGATGACAGGGAGAGGTCACACTCACAGGGACAAATATCAAACACCCCGGCAGGGTCGGACAGGTGAGCTACTCATATAACCTGATGACAGGGAGAGGTCACACTCACAGGGACAAATATCAAACACCCCGGCAGGGTCGGACAGGTGAGCTACTCATATAACCTGATGACAGGGAGAGGTCACACTCACAGGGACAAATATCAAACACCCCGGCAGAGTCGGACAGGTGAGCTACTCATATAACCTGATGACAGGGAGAGGTCACACTCACAGGGACAAATATCAAACACCCCGGCAGAGTCGGACAGGTGAGCTACTCATATAACCTGATGACAGGGAGAGGTCACACTCACAGGGACAAATATCAAACACCCCGGCAGAGTCGGACAGGTGAGCTACTCATATAACCTGATGACAGGGAGAGGTCACACTCACAGGGACAAATATCAAACACCCCGGCAGAGTCGGACAGGTGAGCTACTCATATAACCTGATGACAGGGAGAGGTCACACTCACAGGGACAAATATCAAACACCCCGGCAGGGTCGGACAGGTGAGCTACTCATATAACCTGATGACAGGGAGAGGTCACACTCACAGGGACAAATATCAAACACCCCGGCAGGGTCGGACAGGTGAGCTACTCATATAACCTGATGACAGGGAGAGGTCACACTCACAGGGACAAATATCAAACACCCCGGCAGAGTCGGACAGGTGAGCTACTCATATAACCTGATGACAGGGAGAGGTCACACTCACAGGGACAAATATCAAACACCCCGGCAGGGTCGGACAGGTGAGCTACTCATATAACCTGATGACAGGGAGAGGTCACACTCACAGGGACAAATATCAAACACCCCGGCAGGGTCGGACAGGTGAGCTACTCATATAACCTGATGACAGGGAGAGGTCACACTCACAGGGACAAATATCAAACACCCCGGCAGAGTCGGACAGGTGAGCTACTCATATAACCTGATGACAGGGAGAGGTCACACTCACAGGGACAAATATCAAACACCCCGGCAGAGTCGGACAGGTGAGCTACTCATATAACCTGATGACAGGGAGAGGTCACACTCACAGGGACAAATATCAAACACCCCGGCAGAGTCGGACAGGTGAGCTACTCATATAACCTGATGACAGGGAGAGGTCACACTCACAGGGACAAATATCAAACACCCCGGCAGAGTCGGACAGGTGAGCTACTCATATAACCTGATGACAGGGAGAGGTCACACTCACAGGGACAAATATCAAACACCCCGGCAGAGTCGGACAGGTGAGCTACTCATATAACCTGATGACAGGGAGAGGTCACACTCACAGGGACAAATATCAAACACCCCGGCAGAGTCGGACAGGTGAGCTACTCATATAACCTGATGACAGGGAGAGGTCACACTCACAGGGACAAATATCAAACACCCCGGCAGAGTCGGACAGGTGAGCTACTCATATAACCTGATGACAGGGAGAGGTCACACTCACAGGGACAAATATCAAACACCCCGGCAGAGTCGGACAGGTGAGCTACTCATATAACCTGATGACAGGGAGAGGTCACACTCACAGGGACAAATATCAAACACCCCGGCAGAGTCGGACAGGTGAGCTACTCATATAACCTGATGACAGGGAGAGGTCACACTCACAGGGACAAATATCAAACACCCCGGCAGAGTCGGACAGGTGAGCTACTCATATAACCTGATGACAGGGAGAGGTCACACTCACAGGGACAAATATCAAACACCCCGGCAGAGTCGGACAGGTGAGCTACTCATATAACCTGATGACAGGGAGAGGTCACACTCACAGGGACAAATATCAAACACCCCGGCAGGGTCGGACAGGTGAGCTACTCATATAACCTGATGACAGGGAGAGGTCACACTCACAGGGACAAATATCAAACACCCCGGCAGGGTCGGACAGGTGAGCTGCTCATATAACCTGATGACAGGGAGAGGTCACACTCACAGGGACAAATATCAAACACCCCGGCAGAGTCGGACAGGTGAGCTACTCATATAACCTGATGACAGGGAGAGGTCACACTCACAGGGACAAATATCAAACACCCTGGCAGGGTCGGACAGGTGAGCTACTCATATAACCTGATGACAGGGAGAGGTCACACTCACAGGGACAAATATCAAACACCCTGGCAGGGTCGGACAGGTGAGCTACTCATATAACCTGATGACAGGGAGAGGTCACACTCACAGGGACAAATATCAAACACCCCGGCAGAGTCGGACAGGTGAGCTGCTCATATAACCCGACACAGACACAGACCAGCTGAGGAGAGGTCACGTACTCCTACACAGACACACGGGGCGGCAGGGGGGTCACACCGGGACAGATATGAAACACCCCGGACGAGAGGGACAGCTGGGAGGTCACGTACCCCAATGGAACGGACGTCACATACTCAACGCAGAAAAGGAAGGCCACAATGTGACCTGTGTGTGTCTGCTGTCACATTGTGACAGACAGCTGTCACATTGTGATGTGACGGCTGTCCCTGATTGGCCAGATCAGGTCACGGTTGTACCGATGATGTCACATACCCTATACGGAAAAGGGAATCTCGGTAGGAAAAGTGGGCTGACATGGGGGCGAGTGGGGTCACAACAGAAGAGTACGCGAGGTCATACGCCATAGTGGCTCACGTTAGGTGACAGTGGGACAGATGGTAGAGCTCACGTTAGGTTACAGTGGGACAGATGGTAGGAAAAGATGTGAGTTCAAACATTGCGCGTTCCACTGGCACAGCTCTCGGATATGTGCCCTCCCCTCCCCAGAGACCCGTTTCTATTTGTGACTGTTTCCTTTTGCCACCGTAGCAGTTTCAGTTCAGTGACTGGCATCGGAATTGGGCGGACCTACCCTGGCTATCTCCCCGAGCACTGGCCTGGGCTATGTCGCAATACGGAACAGGAACGTTGAGCAATAGTTTGCTATTTTAGCTGCGCAGTCCTGGCACCGACTGCTGGACCCTATGGCTCAAGATGGGGAAATGTTTTAGGATTGACGTCGATACATGTTGAGTTCATTCACATTGAGACAATTTATGGACGCCCACACGCAACGCTATGTGAGTTTCCACTTGTCAAATCAAATCTTCGAGGGTACTGACGTCGGTTTCGTCTGGTCTTGCACTTTTGGCCATAGACCGTGGGGAAAAGCTGCCACCAATGTTCAACTCTAGGCCCTCGGCCATTTACAGTCCTCGCTGATAGCCTTCCCGACTCCCGGGCACGGGGCGCCCCTGACGGCATCATTAGGAACCACTCTGAAAGGACGGTAATGGGGAGGAGGCTCTGTACCACGCCTGTTTATTGATTGGGCTCCATCAAAATTGCGCAAGGCGGATATGGGCCGCCTGGAACATGTACCAGCTAAAGGCCTGAGCCCGATGATAATTTAGTTAATGGAGTTGGAATTGGCAGCAGCGGTGGGTGTGTGGTAATCCCACATAGCTATGAACGGCGCTCGCCATAACAGCAGTCTGGGTCATTAGTTCACCGGTGTTTCCGCCAGGAGACGGCGTGGTGTGTTGAGCCCATATGTAATTATGTATCGGCAGGTGGCAGTGGGTTAGCTAGTTCACCCGTAGTATCCGCCAGGTCTGTAGGTAGGTTGACTGCCGCGTGTGGTCTGTTTGTTCTTAGTTCCCCATATATCCGCCAGGCGGAGTGTTTGGCTCAGGCTGCCGTATCGTATTGCGTGCGTTCGGCATCCGGAAATCATGTAGAATTATCCCGGATCAGTGAGAATTATCGGAGTTCACGTTCGGTATCGCGACAACGAAAAATTCTCCCAGACAATTATTCCGCGCTGGGGAGAATCTGCGGACATGGGGCGTTTTCTGGAAAACTGGATGTTTTCCGTGTTGAGGTGGGAGGTATTTTTGATAGTGGTGATCAAATGGTTTTTGCTTTTGATTTCTAAAGATAAACTGTAAGATGTGATGGCATATTGTGTATGATGCAATATCGTAAATAACTAAAGGTGTTTGGAAGCTCGAAAATCAAAAGTAAGCCAAATTTCTGTGACCGTCCAGGGATGACATCCGTGATGCCGAACGCTCAAGTGAGGGGTATTATCCCGTGGATAATTCTCCCCTAAACGGGGCGTACCGAACGAAGGTTGTCACCAATAATTTTCCGACCGAGAATATCCAAAGGATATTTTCCGGATGCCGAACGCACGCATTGTTAGCTCTCGTGTCTCCGCCAGGTGGCGGTGTTTGCGGCTGCTGGACAGTGTGTTAGTTCTCCGTGTCTCCACCAGGCGGCGGTGTTTGGCTGCTGGGCGGACTGGGCCAAGGCCCTAAATAAATGGGCGGTGTGTTAGTTCCCTGTGTCTCCACCAGGCGGCGGTGTTTGGCTGCGGCTGCTGGGCGGACGCGGCCGCCACCACTGGTCGGTACGGCGTGGGCGTCTCCACCTCCGGCACCGGCGAACAGCTCGTGATGAGCTGCCTGGCGCGGCGCGTGGCGGCCGAAATCAGCCGCTCCGAGCACGCCATCCAGGGACTCCAGCTGGGACTCAAACGAGGATTCTTAGGTGGGTATAGGCTCGTCGTGACGGTCTGTCTGTCAGGGGATCACCACCCGTCCGTCGTTTCCATCCTCAGGATGCTGAAATCCTTCTCCACGCCGCAACACCCTGGGCTGGACAGGCACTATTATCTCATGCGGGCTGCTCCCTTGGAGCGGCACCGCTGCTCCTGAGGGAGCGCACCCCGTAGCCGGGTGCAGAGAGTGCTTGGAGGGCTGGCCGGCCTGTCCATTCGGACGGGCTCAGTCCCGGCGACTCTCTAGGGTGTCTGTACAATGTCTCTCCCTAATTCCTATCGTCCTTCCGGCTTTAAAATGGTCTTGTCAGACCGACAGGGCCTAACCCAACAAAATAAAACAAACAAACAAAAGGGATCACCGGCCTAGCCAAACAACGTTCGGATGCCCGATACCAGCTGCCCTGCTAAGTGCTAGATAACCGATATTGTGATATTATCATTCATAACGTGTCTGCGATGTTGTGTGAGAAACTTTTCAACACCGTTCAGCTGTCCGGTATCTATGTCCATCAGTTGACTTCGCCGATGCGTGCGTGGGACAGATCGCTGCGAGCCTCAGATGCGAATCATTCACTAACCTCCCTTGTCCTGAGTCCAACAAGCCTGGGCCATGCTCTACATCAGGCCGTCCTCTCCCGTCCTGTGCCGTCTGACCGTCTTCTTTCTGTTAGCTGTCGTTTCCCCAATGTCACCGTCCCCCGGGTCCGGTCGCCCCCTTTCCCGCTTTGACCGTCTTCCCTCGCGTCTCAGGTTCCCACTACGTCCCGCCGAGCAGCCAGCGTCTGGCGGGGGCCATCGCGCTCCGACACGACCCCGGCCTCGGCGCCGTGGACGTATCCTGGGGACACTGCACCGCCAGCTTCGTCCTAGGGTATATGGCCGCCAACTCCGACAGTCCTCAGGTGAGTGGGCGACGGGTGGCAAGGAAGAGTAGAAGTAGACTAGAATAGAGTAGAGGCAGGCTTAGACTGAGCCAGTTTGGAGGTAGCTGACAGACAGAAATGAAATCTGACATAGAAGAGCGGTAGGGTTGAGGGCTGACTTGAAGGAAGACAGCGGAATGCTAGGCGGGATAAATTGGACAATGATGAGCGGGTGAATATGACCGGCAGGTCGCTCTTCCAATGTGCAGCGAAAAGTCATACCCAGCTGTTCTGTGCATCGGTCCGTATGCTAGAGTAAACAAGTTTAAGGAATAAATCGTACCGGATACGAATGACGAAAATAACGGTGCCATTGATGCCTTGCTGCTTTGACTGACCTCTATCGTCCCTCCCCAGACACTCTGCTCGCGACTACCGCCGGAGGGCACGCCGGGCGCCACAGTGCTCTCTCAGGCAGTCTCCATACGCTGCGGACCCTGTGCCGAGCACGAGCCGCGCGACCGTCCGGCGAGCGGCGCCGAGTGGGCGGCGGGGGGAGCTGACGGCGAGCAGGGCGCGCCCGGACTCTGACGGAGCCGGGGATAGACGAGCGCTGGTACAAACCGACACGGGTGCCGCCGACCGACGGGCCAACACGACAGGGATCTCCCGCCCGCTCCGCGGCTACGCTGAGTCGCGTCCTGACACGCACAGTGTTATATCTTGACATGCGTCGTGTCGCCGGCCGGCCGCGGAATCGACAAGAGTGTCCTCACAGATGTGACTCTCAAGGCGGTCGGCCTAAGCCACCCGGTGGAACTATGCAGCCGTGTAGTGCCAACACCCACATCGCACTTCGTTTCTGCTGAACGTCTGACAGCGCACACTGGATTCCGGACTACCTCAGCTGCGTCGCAGCGCCGCGCCGCCGGTCAGCACCTCATCTGTGTGTTAGGGACTCGGTGATTGCGACGGTGACCTAGAGAAGACTTGAGACTGGGATCGGGGCGAATCTCCCCCCCGGTGCGGGCCGACAGAACGGGCTTCGTGCAGCGAGCTTAGCCGGACGGTTCGTGGACGGTTGTTAGGGCAGAGTGGTGGCGCCAAACAAGGGCATCCATACGTCAGTTTTACTGGCGGAATTACGAGTACCTTTTACTGAGTTCGCGCCCGCGTCGTGTTGTAATGTCTGACAAAATACAGCCATTGCTGCCATGCCTCCATAAGGTCATGTATTTTCGATTTCACGACACTTCATCACATTTCTTTCGGGCTCTTCTTCGCCCGATATCTTAACAAACCCGCTTCTCATACCTTTCCCTCACGGCGGCTGTGGGTCAGAGCTGCTGTTTCCAGACAAATTCCTCGCGGTAGGGCCGCTCGGGGTCGGCGGCCTCGCAGCTCTCGGAGCAGGTGTAGACGGCCAGGGTACCCCAGTCGACGCTGTCGCCCATCTCGTCCAGATCCAGGTGGTTGAGCAGCTGCGGCAGAATCTAACGGACGGACGGACGGACGTCAGACGCGGCGGAATAGGAGGCCGTGGGCGGGTGGGAGGCGGGACGATTTCGCTGGTGAGGGATCACTTGACATCGCAAGCAGTATCGGGCACTTTTATTTACCGTGAACATTGAAAAAGTTAATAATTAGCCGACCATATTAGTCAAAACGCAATTCGACGCACAATAGCGTGTCTTGCAAACTTTTCACATAACCATATCCGTAAGCTTTTCTATGATTGAATGAATTTTGCCACCCCCCCCCCCCCCGTTTTCTCTGACTAAAAGTGTTGCGCATTCAGACCTCTACAGTCTGCAAACAGTCCGGCACCCTCACCTGGAACTCGAAGTGCCGTTTGGCGCCACAGGAACAGTTGGGTATGTCCGTCTCGGCGGGCTGGTGGTCTTTGCTGACCCAAAGTGGCGCCCCGCCGCGCCAGTACCGGATCACCTGCTCCGGCTCGCGCGCCACGCGCTTCCGAAAGCGCGCGAACACCGGGTCGTCGCCGCTCGAGGAGGCCATCTTGTCCAGCTCGTCCACGTCGGCATCTGGACGACGGAGGAGGGGCGATGAGGGGTGATGCTTTATGTCCATGTCAGTCATGCAGCATGACTTTCCAAATACGCCAGAAGGCACAGAGGGGAAAAGTGGTCAAAGGAGAATAACGAGTAGCTATTTAAATAAAGATAAGCGTATTTCTACTCAATTACAGAAAAGGCTAATTGAATTGAGTAACTTGAACCTCAATCAATATTCAAAATTATCAAAAAACATGCGTTCATTGATTCATTGACGTAAGGAATATCTTCGTTGATTCATGACGTAAGGAATATCTTCCAACTTCGCTTCGCGAATAAAGCGGATCGAAAAGGGTTCCGGCCAAGAGCAAGCTTACTGCTTACCGGGAAGAGCCTCGATCTTGTCCTTGATGAGTGACGCGTAGTCGGCCATACGTTCTTCCTCTGTCTTCTCACGCTTCTTGGAGTCAGCCGGCTCGTCCTCAATGACCACCTCGGATTCTGGCAGCAGGAACTTCTGGCTCCCGGAGCCGGCGCCGCCAGCCTCTAAACAAAACAGCGAGGGACGTCAAAAGGTAGCACGGAGTCGCGGTTGTCAATAGTGACTGAAAAGTAATATCAGCAAATATAATCATCGTTAAACCATAGCAAAGAAATGAGCGCAAAAATGACGTGAAAATTAGTCATGCGTCGATCTAGATGTGAGGTGACGTTTTTCCGACGCTAACCCAAAAGCTAAACCACAAACCTTTGCATTTTTTCTTATGTCCATGTTTCCAGTCGATGGCCTGGTGCTCTCGGCTGCAGTAGTACACCTTCTTGCAGATGGAGCAGTTCTTGGTGCCCAGACAGCCGCAGACGGCGCACAGCGTCACGTGGTGCTCGGCCGAGTGCTCGTCGGGCCCCAGCAGCGGCCGCTCCTCCTGCGGCGTGTCAGGGTAGTAGGGGTTCTCCAGCGGCAGCTGACAGCGCAGCGCCGCCACGCCGCCCGACGGCCGCTGCGAGCACTCGGGCCGCCGGCAGATGAACACGAACACGGTACGGTGGAAGCAGCCGGCTCGCTCCTCGATCGGCGCATACAGCTGGCAGAGGAAGACGAGCGGCGCGCTGCAGTGACCGCACCGCAGCGCCTCAGACGGCGGCAGGTGGCGCAGCTCCAGCCACGCGGGTCGGCCGCCCACCTTGGTCGGGAAGTAGCGGCTCACCAGCTTCCAGGGCTCTGTGCGCTCTACAAATCCGAGCTGGATGTCTTGGTGGTCGCCAGATGCCTTCTTGTCTTCACTGGCAGCAGCCATGACATGAGTTGCAGTGTGCAAATGTCACAGTAGCAAACCTCTGCCAGCCACACCTGTGAACAAAAACCAGCCAGAATGTGCTAAAAATGCTAACAGTGGCCACGGTGTGGTGACGTAACGCATAGATTTCAATGTAACTTCAAATTGTTCCAACAGAAACTGGTAATTACAACTTTGAATTTCACTATTTCTTTGGCCACATTGTACCTGACAAGCATTAATTAACATGACATTTTAAATCTTAAAAAGCCATAATTTAGGTAGGTATCCTGTTGAACATGATTTTGCTTAATTTTCCCCTCTTGTCTTGACCCACCCATGTTTGGCATGTACTTCACCAGAAGATAAGAACAACCGAAACAAACTTTAAATTTCGTTAGCCTAACTTACATACCAATTGATAAGCTTTCGGATCCAATTTACACGCAAAACGACAACAGTAAATACAACACACGTGCGCGCAGTGTGCGCTTCGCGTGATCGCTGAATGAGACCTTGTTCGTAAAATAGCTATTGACCCTTGATCTGGTGACATATTTAAATAAGTCTCTAGATAATGAAAACATCTTTCGATCAAAAGGTGAAAAAATATAAAGAAGCTGAAAAGGCAATGTTTTGTGAGTGATTCTTTATTTCTAATAATTTTCGAACCCAGCACAGTGGTTTAAATCAATGTTTCATCATTCTTTCATTTTCAGATCTAGGGACTTTCGTTATTTATCTTGTGATAAAAGGGTGGCCTTTATCGGGAAAGGGATGACGAACGCGATAACGTTCAATAGTTTCGTCGCAGGTGCGCCGGTTGAGGCTGTTAGAAAATAATACAAATTATTTTGGTGCAAACATCAAAATAAGATAAAAACGATGAAAACCAAGGTATATAGAGAATTGTGATCAAACCATAATTTTTGGGAGAACGGTTTTGGTCTTTTTGCGAGGTTCTATGTCTGCCTATGTGCGAAATGCTCAAGGACACTGCAGCAAGTTGAGGTAGGTGTTTTTGTCCCTATTTATAAGTATTTAATTGTGTTCTTTTTTAAATATTGTTTTTAATTCGATTTTTTTCTCCATGTTCAGTGTTGTCTGGTGGATAAGGTGTCTTTCTCAGTCCAGATACTTGGCTGCAGGTAGCGAGTGCGAGTGCGGCCTGCTGCCTGGGGCCAGACCCAGACTCAGACTGGACAAAATACACGTTATGCCAAATATGTCCAGCATAGTGGCAGGATTGTGCCAAAAATTTTCGTGCATGTCCAGCGTAACTTTGCATGCACCTAATTGAGTTGTTCAGTGTGTGTCCGCATAATTTTTGGTGAAAGACGGACACTGATTTAGTCGGCACGCTGGTCAACCTAGCAGCATTGGAGATCGGTATTGGTATGGAAGACCTTGTTGAACATCGCAGAGTGTCATTAGGTAATACTGCAGTGGGTTCCTGCCCACTGGCCACTGCGTTATCGAGGGGAATGAGAGCGCGGACGACCTGGCGAAACAAGTGGCCTCCCTGCCCTCAAACACCCGCCCTCTGACCAGAGAGGTTCATTGTGCGGCCTCGCATCAATGGCGCGACACCTGGTCCGAGTCACTATTCGAACCACTCCACGGGAGCACGCTGCCGCTCTCTACCCCGGAGAGGACCGAGAGGACGCCGTTTCGGTGCACCAGACGAAGGCGGGCCGCTGGGGTCGCTCGCTCCAGTACTCTGCACCGAATTGGCTGCCTCCACTCCACGGCGTGCCAGCAGTGCCCAGACAAGCGGTGCCCCGCGGCGCTCTGCGCCGTGTGCCGAGAAGAAGCTGATGTGCACGTGCTGCGACGCTACCCCGCCCCCGCTGGCTCCCGCCAGTCTCGAACACACCGCTCCGCCGATTTTTGTGGTCCCGGAACTTCCGGGTCCGGCCTCATTTCACGGCACGACGCTACAGTGCGCTAAGCGTTTTGAGGTATTGGTTTACATGGAAATAAAAATTTATTTGAACGCTCAAACATAGGAGAGCGCCACAGGCCCCGAAATGCTCTGTCTGGTTGATATAGCCTTGATCGTTAGGTGTGCACATGTGCTTTTTTATAAAAGTGGCTTAATTTTGGCACAAATTGGCACCCAATTTTCGATGGGAATCATGCAGAAATCTCAAAGAGGGTTTCACGGGCGTCCGGCGTGGTGTATGGATGTTCCAGTCTGACCTGGGAGCCCCCCCCCCTCCCCCATTGTTTGACCCGCATATCTATATTCAGCCCAGACTGGAAAAAAATCCATGTTACCGTTGATGTTTCTGACATAGGTAACAGGCGGATTGCGGCAACATTTTGACACAGTGTTCAGCGTTGCGTAACTCTGTGCCCCAATCTTTTGACACACAGATGGACAAATAAATTTTGGTACAGGCAGAGGCAGCCAGCTTGGCAAATTTTGGTGCAAGACCAGTTAGACCACACAACACCCCATTTAAGGTAATGTCACTCACTTCACTCTCCATCCGAATCATAAGCCCTAGTCTGCAGGTACGTACAGTCACCAGCACTTGCTACTAATCACCTCGTTTTTGTTCAGTAGTTTGAAGACCGATCAATTCTCAGACGCGCAAGATACGTCAAATGATCCGTTTGGTCCTCAGATTTTCGAATATCTAACTTGTTTTTGTATATTCGAAGCATTTTGGGATGGAGAGCCAAAAAAACTCTTTTCTGCCCTAAAGTGTGCCCCAAGAAGTCGTAGAACCTAGCCCCGCCTCTGATCCACAGACCACTAGTGCCATCTCTTGTCAGCCGAACAAAACGCAGAAGTAAATAATGTCACGTGACCTTTGCACACGCTACAATTACTACGCAGCTGTAGTGGGGGAAGCGGGGCGGAGGCGTGGAGGGGGACGCGATCGGTCGGCTGGGGTCAGGTTGCCGAGGTCAGAGGTCATCCGC